GGTGGTGATAGCATCTGAATACAGGGAGAAGGTGCATCTTTTCCAACTCAGACCTGATTCATAGGAGGATGAACATCCAACACTTAAACAGGATTCTTTGAAAAAGCTGACATTTTCCAGGATAAAAGGGGATATCGTGATGGTATTTGCGCACAAACTGCACCGTAGCGTTGTCTTTTGCATTCACAGAACTCTCTTAATAGCTGGTGTTTACTTATTAGAGGTTAACATCACCCTCTCTAATGTGTGCAGGGATATTTCTGGTTTCTGCTTTTCAATCTTCCCTTTGCCAATAGCTCTTGTATTTGTCTATGTTCTAATCTTGGTCTCATCACACGACCAGTTTCAGACATTTGTCTTCCTCCTCAGCTCATCTGGCTGTAGACAACAAGATGTTAACCTCTGAAAAAACAATTGAAAAATAATCACATGAGAATAACCTGAATTTGGTACCTCTGGGGTTTGTGCTGGCTGGAGCTGGATATTTTCCAGTGAAAACAAGACAGTCAATGATAAGGTCATGCCCAGTGACGTTAGAGTGGATGTGTTTTGTAGTAGGAAGTCATCTCTCCTCATTGCTTGTGTAGACAGTAAAGGGAGAGCAATGACTTCAGTTTACAATAAATTTTCTGCTCTCTGGCGGGTAAAGAAGTTTCCCAGAGCTAGAATTTAACAGCAATAATTAGCAGCTGATAAAATCCCCCTGGCACCCTGTAGGCACACAGTGTGTGATGATGGGGAGTGGGGCTGTGGCAGAGCCCCATCCCCAATGGGCACAGCTGTGAGCAGCAGGTGAGCAGCACTGACAGCAACGAGCCACGGAGTGCCCAGGGGCACTGACCAACCACCAAAGGGAGCAGAGGGCACACTGGTGCAATGCATGAACACGAGGGTATAAAAGGTTGGGCTAAAGAGCAAGAAGGGCAGATTCTTGCAGCCTTCTGAAATGGTAGGATGTTGCTCTGTGTGGGTTGAAGCTTTCTGAAATTGTATGGTGATACTCTGTGTATCATGGCTGTCTCAACTGTGGCATATGCTGGAACAGCACCCTGCACCTTCTTTCATAAGCCATGAATATTAAGAGCTACTTATCAAGCTCAGTTCCTGATTCATATTCTACAGTCTTTCAAGTCAGCTTCTTGTTTCTCTGAAGAAGGATTTATTTAAAAATATAATAGTACATCAAAAAAAGACTGGACTTGGGAAATTAAAATGTGAACGTTCTTAGTGGCTGGAGCACCCAATGATTGTGCAGTGAGTTGTTTGTAATTTCTATGTCAATTTTCATTCATTGTTAAGGACTTTTTGTTAAAGATTTTTAAGGTGAAGCATTTGAATAGCATTTGCATTTTTACTCCTTTATGGTTATAAACATGGCAGATACATAAAGCAGGTCTCTTTGCCTTTAGTAATTAATTACTGTAGTAATTTGGAATCTCAATTACAGTTCAGTTGTGTGTAGGAAAACACTGTACTTACATGAAAGAGCTTGCTCCCAGGTATGTGAGGTACTTTGATTTTATCTTTTTATCAAGACAGAATGTGCCAAGGAGCCGGGACTCTCTCATGGGCAGGACCAGCTGCGTGTTGGAGTTGTGGCTTGTGTGGCTCAGTTTTGGGGAGTTGCTGGGTGACACAGAAAGCCTTCCCTTGGCTCTGCAGGAGCCAGCTGTGAGAGCAATGCTGGCTCTGCTGGGTGTTCAAGCCTCGGATGACTCTCCCTATTTATCTGATATTTCCTGCTGCCTCCTTGTCCCCTTGCATTTGCATGACCCTGGGCTCCCCCAGGACTGCTTTTCTCCCTCTCTCTTGGGACATTGTTGATCACTTTCACAGCAACCCATTTTAAGATCTGAGGAAATAAAATGTGGTGAGGTAAGCTGATTTAATGTTTGCTGCTCATGAAAAGGTTATGCATCTGACTAAGGCAGCAGAAGCAAATAACTTCCAAACTCAGATCTCTAAGGAAGAGAAATATGATATCTAAGGCTTCTGAAACCTCTAGACCTTGTATTTATAATCTGGCCTTTTACAAATCTTTTTCAACCAAACCCCATTATTTTAAATGGTGGGTTTTGGGAAGCAATTTGATTTAGGCAAACAAGCAAAAAAGATCAATAGCTATTTTAGGTTTTGCACCTGTCTCCCACCAAGCAGATTTTGAGCCCACTGGTTTTTCACTTCACATAACATCAGGTTATGATTAAAGGCTTTTCTTGCTTTTGCTGTAATCTTTCCTTGAAATAGAAGTCAGTGTATCTGCATGCTGCCCCATCCATCACTTACTGAGCTTGAGGAGACTTTAGACTCAAAAAGATTTAATTGCTGTTCTAAATGTGCAGCAAAATCCTGGCTTGACTGAAGTCAGTGGTGACTTCGTTCCCACAGAGCCTGAATTTCAGATCTGGGAATGTATCTGCACCATGCAGTGGGCTGCTGCTCCTGCACCAAATAAATCCAACCTCTCTCTTGCCCAGAATATCCCTGTGCACCCAACTCTGCCCCTCCTTGTGTCATGGAGGCGTTGTGCCACTTACTGCACCACCAAACTGGAATCTTAAAGTAGGATTGACTTCTGCTGGGATTAGGCTTTGAACAAGCAGACTTGTAGGCTGTTAAAAATTTCAGGAACTCACAGTTTCTGTGGGTTCTGAAGAGCAGCACAGAGAAGCCTGAAGTGCCATGAAATTCAAAGTGCCTGGATGTCTGTGGCATATGTGTTTTGTTTCTAGTTTCTGAAGAAAACATGCATAATGAACAAAAAATTATAATCTTTATTTACATGTGCAATATGTTTCTCCTCCTGTCTCATTCCCTTTGTGAGAACTCAGGGCCAGAATTACAGTATCTGAAGTTGCTTTTGGAGCCTATTCAGCTCCCATCTGTCAAGATCTGTTTTTAATCCAATGGGTTTTCCATCTGAAAGTAGCTGTTGGATAGAGGATGAGTAGAAATATTTGTGTGTGAATTAGCTCAGACTGAAGCTACAAACTTTTTTTTTTCCCACAACAAACACATGGAAAAATATTCTTCAGTGTAGTGTGACTGGCCTGAAAATTGGCAACAGCAGGCCTTCCTTCCCAGGCTCTGACTCCTCTGCCTTGACTGCGTGGGTAAAATCTTTAAAGGGGACCTGAAATCTTCATTTTACACAGACTTGCCTCCTCTCCATGCAGCAGGGCAGGGCTGATGTAACCCTTGTGTATATGGACCTTGCAGGAAGGAGGTCGGGTGGTTTGGTTTTCCAGGAGAATTATGAGATGCAGCAGAGTAACCTGGGTTTGCTGAGAGTCAGGCTCTTACCCCTGGGCAATCTTCCCTTTGTCAGCCTTTATGATCTCTGCCCCGGTGGGAAGAGCTGATATGTTTGATACAATCATGAGAGAGGCCCCAGATCTCCTTAACAGCCTGTGCTCAGCATCTCCAGTTGTTGAATGCCATGAAACTGGGCTGCAGGAGATGGGAGGCAGAATGCCTTGGGGGCTGAATGTGGTTGTAACAGGCAGAGAGGCAAGTATGGCTGCAGGATCTCTGTGGTTTCTGGGAGGATACCTCTCCTATTGGGAAAGAAGAAGAAAAAACCATCCATTGGTGGTCCTTGGAAAAGTGTTGTCAAGGCCAATATTCAACACCCCTGCAGGGATTTTTATGCAATAATTTTTATTGGTAAAAGTACCGGAGCAATTGAATCAGTAGCTTGGAAGATGGTCTGGTGTCTTGGGGGAGATGGAGAAGAGGGTGATGCTTATCCATCCCCCATTGGATGGATAAGCATCGTTGGAGACAGAGAGCTTCACTTCTGCATCCATGGCCAAAGGGACATCTCCTGCTGCAGTGCTGTGGCTGAGGGAGGAGGAATGCTTTCCTGTTTCCTCTGCCAGATCGCTATCTCAGTCCATATGTGAAACCTGGGAATTGCTTTAAAGGCCCAGGAGCTCTCCTAGCTGTGATTTTCATTATATTGATGTCCATGGTCACCCTTGAAAGCTCCATCCTGTGTTTGTTGAAGTCTTGTTGTGGATCTGTCATCAAGGCAGCAGGACCAGCATTGGCCTGAGGACAACTGTATGAGGGAGCAGAACCTGGCATATTTGTAACTTTTTAAAAAAATATCTTGGAGGTACCAGGGTCAAAAGGCAACGTTTTTGTGTTTTGTGTGTGTATTTATATGTGTATGTACAAGTTTTTGTGTGTATGTGTGCATCCAAATCATTTTTATCGCAGCTTCTGGCAAAGTGGTGTTTCTGTAAGAGGATTGTTTTGGGGATGGACTAGGGTTGGGCAAGGGAAATCCTGGGCTTATTCCAGGTTTCTGTTGCTGTTTCCATCAATGCAAGGAAGCAGTGTCACTCTCACTGTCCAGCTTTACATCCCCTGATGTGACTCAGCAAGAGCTGTGTGCTGTGACAGGGTTTGGTTTGTGTCACACACCTATGGGTGTGTGGAAGCAATGATGTTGCAGGGCTGTAATTCCACAGCACCTGGGGAGCTGCCTTTCCTTTGGATTTCCTGTGGAACCAGAGCCACTCCTTGCTTGGGAAGGGTGGCAGCCACAGCTCCATACACAAAGACAACCTGGAGTGTGGGGCTGGAGATCAGCACCCCATGAGGAGCTGTTGCTTCAGGGGTGGAATAGCTCACCCAGCCATGCCTGTAGCTGGCCCTGGGACCCTCCAAAAAGGACAGAAGGCAGGGTGTGCTACCACAGACCAGAAAATGTAAGCTGTTGTGTCAATTAGAGCTTTTATTCCAGGCAGAGCAAAGTCAGTGGGAGCTGCTGATGGGGATGTGTGGGAGAGCACTGAGTACTCCCCCAAGACTTCTGTTGGAGGCTGCAACAAGCTTTAATTTAGGTTAGTCCTGCTCCCAGGGCTATATTCCTCACTGGGAGTGGGAACAGCCAGTGAGATCTGAAATTAACCACTGTTGGCTGTTCTGCCTTTGCATGTATCCTGTGCTTCCTGGCCCAGGCTGATTTGTGTTTTCTTTTCCCTGAACAGGTCTATATCATCAATGTAACATGGTCTGACCTGACTTCCCAGATCATCTACCGGAGATACAGCAAGTTCTTTGACCTGCAGGTAAGTCTGCCCTGTCTAACATAAAATATTATTTCTACTCATGCTTCTAGTCATGTTTCCAGCTGGGTTCATAGTGCCTTTAAATAAGGCTTTGTGCTTGTTTGGTCTGTTACATGTCATGATCTTGAAACTTTTCAGACTCTGCCCTTGTAGGGTATAAGATAAGTGGGTGGTATGCTCACAGTGAGTAACTTGCAGTGTAAAGACATTTAAAGCTGACATTTTCATGAATGGCTCCTATTAAAGAGGGGATCTAATTTTAAATACTTCAGATGCACTTAAAACAGAGAGAGCACTACATTTTGGGCCCCCAGAAACTACTTACCCAAGTAACTGAAAACAACAGAGCTTTTGCACACTCCCACAGCAGTTCAGTAACAGAGATTGCAGTGGAAACTTTCCAGTCTCTTTTCCTAACCATCTACCCAGCCAGCCAGTGTCCTGGCTCCTGCTGTTTTGTGCAGCTCCTTTCCTCTATTCTGTGCCTGTATGTTTAGATTTCATCAAAAGCTTTCTTGCTGGATAGCTGCTGACCAGGGTTTGAAACCAGGAATCAGCTGCTTCATTTCTGGTAGTGCTCCCAGGCACCTGCATGGGTCGGGGGAGCTTTGGGGCTGGTGTTCTGTTGGGGAATAATCCAGATCTGCTGATACTTTTGTATCATTGTAGCTTTTTAGGCAGCAATACTAATTGCCTGGGGTAAAAATAAAAGCTGTGGTTTGAGATGCTCTTGAACTTTGAGGAAAGGGTTGATTTTTGGACTGGAGCTTGTGTTTGGAGTTGGGCTGAGGTTACAATACCAAGTGAGCCCTATGGTCAGTATTGAGGAGGTAGCTGACTGCTGTGTCCTGAAAATAATGCTAAGCCTTTTTTGTATGATAAATTAGGGGAAAAAGGGTTCTTGTCTGGGGTATCTTAAAGAGCTATAGTTTCATCTTTGCTCCTCTTTGTTTTATTTCTGGTACTTAGAAACCTGAAGTCTCTAGTCTGTTTTGTAAGCTGTATCAGTAATTATGGCCTCCTGGCCTTTTGGGTGAAATGGTGACCATTTCTACAGCCAGTCCTAGTTTCTTTTTGCTGTGTGGCAGGAAGACAAGAGAAGGATGTTCTTAAGCTTCCTCTTGTGCCCATCTCCATTTCTAACTGGGCTGAAGTGCCAGGCCTGCCAGTCCCACTGCTGCAATTGTATGCCAGCATCTTTTCTGTGTCTGCTGTACCTGCTAAAGATGCTCACCTCCATAGTCACAAACATTTCTTGTCAGCATGCGAATTGTGGCCAAAACTGTTTCTTTCTTTTTCTCTCTTCTTTCTCTTTTCACTCCAGTTCTGTTTTCATGTATATGTTGTTCTGGGTCTCCCAGCTTTTCCTGGTAGGTTTGAAAAGTTCCCATCAAGTGTGGAGTTATCAATGGGGTTAGTGTGTTGGACAGGAAATGATGTCTCAATCAGGGAGTGAGTCCTGAAAGGTCCCATTGATAAGTGCAAGGGGGCCTAGCCAGTGGAAAACTCCTGCTTGCATGACGCTTCTCCCCCCACGAGAAAATATGACAAGAAAGTAACAAAATTCCCTTCTTTAACCCTTTTCCCTCCCAGGGATCTCTGTCAGGGCCAACACTGCATGAGCAGTGTCAGGCCCCTACAACAGCCTCTTTAGCTCTTGCAGTGTGAGGTGCAGAGTGACAGAAATTGAGGTTACTTGAGATTTCGAGTCCTGCCATGTCTCTGTACTATGTCACTGTGTTCAGCTGTGCCTCAGTTTCCCAGCTGTGAGATGGGGACAAGGCCCTGAGTGCTCAGGCTGCCATAATGTTCTTTTAGACTCCCAGAGGTGAGAGGTGTTTTTTTTATTTATCCCCTTCTAGTATTCTTTCTGGATTTTTGATTATGCCTGAGCATCCCTTAGGTGAGGCAAAGGAAACTGCTTTGGATCTTGAATAGAAATTTGTGTTTCCAGCTCTAATGAAACCTGCCAAGAGAGTTGGAAAAGTAAATGAACGCTAAGGGGGACTTTGGGTAACCCTTGCATTTTGGGAAATCTATGGCTTGATGTGCAGAGATTCTTGCTCAAAGAGAAATTAGCTCCAGATCTTGGGATGACTTGTGCTTTCCAGATTTTTGCTGGAAGCTTGAACTTCTAACCCAGTACTGGTTGAACGTGGGGTTTGCAATCTGATACCATGCATGGTAAGGTGGTCTCAGCATAATCAATCTTCTTTGGTAATATCCCTGCTTATCCCCATGTGGCACTTCTAGGAGAGAACCAAGCAAATTCTCAGGGAGTGATGCTCAGCCAACTCATGGGCACCACTCATGTCCAAAACAGCTGGAGCCCACAGGTCTCTGCCAACTGCACTCACCCTGCTGTGTCACCAACAGAGCTGCACTTCAGGGCTTCTGAAGGCTGCACGTGTCTCCTTTGCTCTTGACTGGAAGTGGAGGAACAAGGGCTGACTTGTAATGACTTAATCAGGGCTGCAGCGGCTGCCATTGACAGTGACACTGGATCCGACCCATGGGGAAACCCAGGGGGCTGCCCAGGAGCAAGGAGGGAGGAATACAGATAATTAATGTCACTACTCCATTTTCATGTTTCTTTAAAAAAGTGCCCACTCTTCCCCAAACAGCTGTCTCTGGGAAGTGGCTTGGTGGTTTTGAGAGCTGTAGCATTAGTAGAAACTGCATTTTTAAAAAGACTTTTTTGCAAATTCTGTTAGGCACTGCAGGCGGCAAGAGGCTGCTCTGTCCCAGGGATTCAAATCCAAGGAGAATTTGGCTGTGCTATTTCAGCAGTGCATATGCTTGAAGTGGGAGTCAGGTTGTTTTTCAGTTTAGTAATAGGGCAGTAAGGATGGTCATACCACAGGATTTGTTTGCCCCACAAAGGTGTAAGAAGTACAGCAAACAGAACCCAAAACAGCAAACCAAGTGTCAGCCCTGTGCTGCTTCAGTGAGGGCTGGATATCTGTAAACACAGATTTTAAATTAAATTAGGGTACTGCTGCATCATTTAATTGTGCAACCAATCACATCTGCTCCTGAGCATGGGTCAAATGATGGCAGTAGAATACATGTGAGTGCCAGTGTTTCAGTAAATAGGATTGAAAAGATTGAATTAACTCTGCATAGATGAAAGCACTACTATAAATTGCTTGTCAAATCCAATTATCTGTTGTCTTTTACCCTGGGGAGACGTTTGCACCTGAGCACCATGTGGGGTCAAAGCTACCTCCTAATGTAATATTTTGAATGTATTTTTCTTGCCCTTGCCTGTAGTGTAGAATGGAGGAGCATGAGAAAAGTGCTGTGAACATCACCTGTCAGTAGTGCTGACCCTTGTGACAGGCTGGTGTCTCACTGGGACACGGTCCCTGGATGCTGTTTGAGGTCTTCCATCATAATTGATGGATTTGCTGGTGGTGGTTGCAGGATTCTGTCCTGAGGGGATTGTTTAGTAATGCTGCTGTTGTCCCCAAAGGAGCTGAGAAAGGACACGCTTTTACTGGGATAGCAGGGATAACTCCTGGCATTTCCACTGTGCAGTAAAAGATATCTGCAGATGTAAGGCCTGTGTTTTTCTTGCTGGAAAGTGCTTTTGGAGGCTGTTACCAGAATGGGGATTTGCAGTTGAGTGCATGCATAAATAATTGCCCAAAGCATCAGGTGGAGAATTGTAGAGATGCAGACACCTCTCACCCTCCCAGTGGCCAAGCTGAGCTGGAAAACAACCACCAAATTTGCAGCTGGCAAGCATGAAGGATGTCTTTCCCCTCTCTCCATATCACCCTTGCAGTTGCCCAGTGCCACCTTGGGCTATTATGATCCCAGCTGGGTGCTGGCCCCACTGCTGAGAACCCCCCTCCCCAGCAAAGTGAGCAGGGAAAATGGGACCAAGGATCTGTGCCTGGTCTCTCAGCTTCAATCACCAGTGGTCATCTGCTGCATTTTATCCCGTGACTCCAGGTGTTCTCCTCTTATTCCATGCCTGTGCTGCTCAGTGCCTGCAGTCAGAGCGTGAACAGGCCCAGCACCGCAGCAGAGGGACCAGAGGATGGCTGGGTCTCTGTGTGCAGAGCTGGGGAGGATCCTTGCTCACAGCAGGGGTAGTGCAGCTTTCTCCAAGGTGAAACACAGCAGCTGGATTTAGCAGCATGCCACCATCCCACGTGGTGTGTTTGGCTGTGCAGGAGCTGAGCAGCATCGCCGGAGCCAGGGCAGGAATGTTGGGCAGGCAGATCTCAGCCTCCCCACACAATGACACACACAGGCAGTTTGACTGCAAGGAGGTGTCTGAAATGTCACAATATTGAAAAGGCAAATAAACAAGGCTGTGTTCAAGCACTTGCTCTGTGTATCAGCAGAATTTTATCTGCCCAACGTGGTTTGCTGATCTAAGCAGGTTTTCTTCGAAGTGGCACAGAAAGAGGAACTCACTAGCAGCCAATTAGAACATTAAAAAAGTAAAGACTATCAAGAATTTTATGAGGAAGAGGAAAGACCTGTAAGTTGTTTTCATCCAGATGATAAAGCATCAAGAGCTTCATTTGTTAATTCTTGGGTCATCCTGATTGTTTATAGTGCTATAATGGAATAACAGAGCACTGAAGATGACATTAAACAACAATGGTAATATAAAAACTGGTAATTGCAGTTTGTACCTCTGCTTTTCTTACGCAGACTGGAGTTCATGTAAATGCTGCTGCTATTGATTGTTCTCCTGTTACACTATTCTGTAACAACATCCCTTTCTCCATTACCCCAGGCTGTATCAAATAGGGGAATGTACACTCCCATTTTCAGTTTGGTTGCAACTGTGCCATGTGCCTGGATTTCACTGGGTCACTATGATTTGAAACAGGACCTGGTGGTTTTGGCATGCAGGCTTTCTGGGGCAGAGCAAAGAGAGAATTCTGTGATTCTGATGGAATTGTGTATATTCACTCCAGTAGTTAGTCTGGGTTAATTGCTCAAGTGGAGACCTACAGCCCTAATTTTGGTGGTCC